ACAAACCAACTTTTTTTATTTTATTTTATTTTATAATCATATTTTACTTATGCAATTTAAATACTATAATAACAATTTTCTTATGAAAATAAGTTAAAAAGTAAATGGTTTAATATAAAAAATGAGTATAAGATGACTAATCATATTGTGTTGAATTCATGGATCCGCAGGCCTTTATTCAAAACGTTTGTAGGTGAAACAGAATTACATATTATTAACTTTTAGAATATGATCAAGGGTTCAAGAAAGTAGACAGATTAATAATTTTCTACTACTTTTCTACGATGATTCCTAGAAAGAATTTATAAGGAGACCCAAAAGAATAAGGTGGACTAGTTCTTTTGCTTGCTCTTTGTGTTTGACATTGACTAGTAAAATAAAATTTAAAATAATATGGAAAATTCTTTGCTTGATTTTTCTGATATCTTGTTCACACATGGCTATCTTCTTCTTCTTCTTTTGTTTTGTATTTTGTTCCTTTTTAGTTCGTCTGGTCAGTTGAATTATGTAGTTGGATATGATTCATAATACTAGTTAAATGTTTGGTGGCCTAAAAACAACATGGATTGGATTATGTCTAATCCTATTAAGCCAAATGGAGTAGGATTATGAATCCTATTAGAAGGTTGAGATTAAGTTGAATTGGGTTATATCTAATCCTACTAAGCCATGTAATAACACAGTTCAATTAATCCAATTCCTTTATAATGTGTAATACCAAACACATAATTGAATTAGTGTTATTGTTTTCAATACGATGCAATCCAATTCAATCCCAGTAGTCTTCAACAAAAGGCCAGGAATAATTGCTGGTTGTGCATTTTCTTCGAAGCCTCTGACAAGTTTCTAAGTAGATAATACAAGGAAGAGCCTCACTGTAGAGTGATGAGGAATATATGTGGGCCAAATGAAGTCAACCTTGTAAAGTCTTGGTCATTCCTGATAAATAAAGAAAAAATAGCATTGTCCCACAAAAAAAGAATATTCCACACTACTAGTTTCAAAAAACTTAAAGTTTACGCGTGAAAGAAGTCTAAAAAAGGACTTGGCCATTTGACATCTAACCACCACAGCTGATACTGCAAGTAATATATAGACTACTTCTAATGTGGTTGAGAGCACAGAAAAAAATAAGCACTCCAAACTCAACCACTATAAGAAGTCGAAGATATATTCTCTCATGGCTTGTGACAAGCCGTTCTGCAATCACATGCTATTGAAGTCTGCGGATGTGGGTTTCTCTGATCTGCTTCACATCTTGTTTTCCAAACACTTAGAGAGAAGAAGATTTTGTCACTCTTCTGAGCAGACCGAGCATGACCTTGATGAGTTTTGTCACTCTTCTGAGCAGACCGAGCATGACCTTGATGAGGGCAGATGGCTTATATTTCTGTCTATTCTGGTGCAAAAATTGCTGCGATTTGTCGCTGCGCCAATGGCAGCTATTGGCTGGGTGATCGAAATGTGCTTGAATATCTTTTCAAGCAAACAAAACATGGTTGGACTGCTGCAAAATTTTCTACGAGGTAATAGTTCACTTCCTTTTCATTTTTCTCATGCATGCAATTGGTATGATTAATTATTAATTCAATTTCATATGGTTAGTAAAGAGCTTATTGTAAATGTCTTCTTCCCGTAAAAATTCTTTACCTTCCTCCATTCCTCGTAAATAAGCATGTCATAAATGGAGACTAATATATATATTAGAAAAGTTGATAGAGGTCCAAAAATCCAACCAATAGTTGGGTCTAGTCCTCGAATTATTGTTTATTGATACAAGTCCTTTGACTAGTTTGCCATGTAGATTACATTCCATTTTTGACATGCTGACTCAATCTTTTGTATTTAACTGATTTGTATTTAAATTTTTTGTTCCTATTATATCCATATTGTTTAAAACGGATAAAATGAGGATTTATAGGCCATTAATGATTAAATTTGATCATGTAATTAAAGGAATAATTACATTTTATGTCGGACCTTCACTTTTTTCTTGTGCTTGATTTGTGCAAATTATTATGCTCCAGGTACAATACCCTACTAAACATTGAACTTGATATACCTATCTAATAGGTATAGTACATATTTGATGCACCTCAGTACTAGGTAAAACACATATTGGATGCACCTCAATGCCAGGTAAAACACATATGTTTAAAATAAAAAGTTATAACTCCATACTAGGTATATTAAAAAATTAACATTATGACAAAAAAATTCCATCAAAGAACTTTAAAAAACTCAATATATAAATTTATAGCTAAAAGGTAGGTATATGCTACCAATTTAATAAAGCTACGAATATAGAATTCTAAAAAATATAGTTTCCATATGTATATAGCTGAAATTTGAATTAAATAGGTTTTTAATCTGTGAGCCATGAAATCATCATTTAAATTGAATGTCATAAGCTTGATTGTAGAAGAAAACTGATATTTAAAAGTGGTATTTGCATGTACTTGCCAATTTCAACCAATGTCATTGTTGTAAATGTCTCGAATATGGTGGCTACAAGGTTTGCTTACCTGGCCATACAATTGATTGGGAGGACTGCAATTGAAGAGAGTCCAATTAGTGTCCTGCATCCAGTGTATCTAAATGAAAATGGACCTATATCTAAGAATACATACACGCACAGGTAAGGGAATGCCAGGTAAAAGCTCAAGAACGTTCGTGTCGTTTATTGGACATCTGGACAAGCGAGTAGAGCTGGACAGAAACATAAAATTTACAGATGGCAATTATAATGCAGCACTTTGTATGATGGCGTCTAAAATATCTTATGAGAACAAATTCTACATTGAAACTACAGTCCAGGATCACTGGAAGGTATGGCAATTTACAACTTCAATTAGTTCTTGCTCCAATATGCTTCCGTATAATTTTAATAATTGTATGATTAATTGTAAAACTCTGCCTTTTTCTTTTGTTTTTCCCTTCTTTTGGCAGATGGAGTTCTTGGGCTCTTACGACTTCTGGAATGGTATGAGAAATAACTCAAATTGAAAAAAATTAAAATTATATCCCACTCATACATTATATATGCTAACGTTTTATATGCTATCTGACAAATTTCAATATCTCAACCGTGCAATCAAAGATGAATATTGTCTTAAACTCGATAATTTAACATCTACACATGAATAGTTAATATAACATGTCAGATTGTTCGATAATTTCATATATACACATGATGGCACATGCCTAGATATATGTGTGCGTATATATTACTTCAAAATCAATACTAACTGAAATCATTGTTATTGTCTTTGATAGATTATCAAAGAAAAGCTACAACACAAGCCTTTATGCTTCGTGACAGAAGTGATGACCATGACACTATCGTTGTGGCCTTTAGAGGCACTGAACCCTTTGATGCGGATGCATGGTGCTCTGACTTTGACATCTCTTGGTATCAACTCGAAGAGGTTGGAAGGATCCATGGTGGATTCATGAAAGCTCTAGGGTTGCAGAACAATATTGTTGGTTGGCCGAAGCCGGAGGAATTCAAACAAGACAATAGCCACCCAGCTTTAGCTTACTATGGCATTAGGGATATACTGAAAAAGCATCTGCTTGAAAATGACAAAGCAAGATACATAATAACTGGGCACAGCTTAGGTGGGGCTCTAGCAATTCTCTTTCCTGCAGTTTTAACATTTCACAATGGAAAGGATTCAGATATGCTGTTAAAGAGGTTGGAGGGAGTTTATACATTTGGGCAGCCTAGAGTTGGAGATAAGGATTTTGGACGGTACATGGAAAACAAAATGATAGAGCATAAGATTAAGTATTTTAGGTTTGTCTATGGCAATGACATCGTGCCCAGGTTGCCGTATGATGACAAGGCCCTAATGTTCAAACACTTTGGGACTTGCCTCTACTATAATAGGCAATATGAAGTTCAGGTAACAACTGATTTTCTCTTATCAAATTCAAGTAATGGTGAAGGAATCACATTTGTAGACTGCACAATAGACAACATATTTAATAAACGCAAGACCCACTTATGGAGGGAGGAGGGTTGTGCCTCTAGCTATTTTAAAAATGTGTCAACCTATGTGGTACAAATAGTTTTACGCTTGAAAGAAACGTGTCCTAATTAAATTTACACAACATGTGCAGGTTCTTCCGGAGGAGCCAAACAAGAACTATTTCTCTCCAACGAGGGCAATTCCCATGATGATGAATGCTTTTGGTGAGCTGATAAGAAGTTTCACCATTCCATATAGGTTGGGACCGGACTACAAAGAAGGGCCCTTGCTCAAAATGTTCAGGCTAATGGGTCTGGTAATGCCAGGAGCAGCTGCACATTGTCCACAAGATTATGTAAATGCCACCAGATTGGGATCCTCACATGCATGTCTTCCTCTCCCACCCACCCATTATCTATGAAAACCAAATGTCGAAATTCAAATTTCCCTTAAATTAATGGCATTTGAATTTCGATATTAGTAATAAATTCCCCATCAATTAGTACACTATTTTATAATTCCAGGTACTAATTCCGGGACTAATACCCCAATTTTCTCGTATAAATAAATTATTAGAACTAAATGGTTATCTAACACCGTGACCTTATTAAAATTAAGAATAAAACAAAAATTATCATTGCCTTTTTCTGTTTCTTTGGTTCTATCGATCAATTCTAGTAGACCCATCACATGTCCAATTTTATTACTGCATGCCCCATTACTGAAAATGCGCGTAACTTTTCTAATTGTTGCATTTTGATGCTCCTCTCGCACCAACCAAGTTTCCAATATCAAGTCAAACTTTAATTTATAAGATAAGATTTCCAATCTCATTTGGGAAGTAATACAGAAATTTAGAGTCTTATAGCAAATGGGTCCATTTTCAATCAATAAGCTACAGCTATTGAATCAATCAAACCTAGCTACCATCTCTCTCTAATCTCTATACAAAGTCTTAAGTAAACATATATCTTCCACCAAAGCAACAAAGAATAATAACATATCTTCCGCCAAAGCACAAAAGCCATGGCCTGTAACAAGAGCTTTTCCAGCAATTATTTTCTATTGACGCCAGAAGAAGTTGGCTTCTTTGATCTGATTCACATTTTGTTCTCCACCACCAAGTTTGAGGAAGGAATTAAGTTTTTAGATATGTCTAAGGTAGAGGAGATCAACTTCAGGCGCAGATGGTTTATATTTCTGTCCATTTTGGGTCAAAAATTTCTGCAGTTTGTGTCAAAGCCACTCTCAGAGTTGGGGTCGGGGATCGAACTGGCTTTGAACCTTATACCAAGCAACCGCAATGTGTTTGTGCTCATGCTCAATTTCCTCCGAGGTTGCTTTGCTTGTAACTTTCCTCTGTTCATAATTACTAATATTTTGGATGAATCTAGCTAATGACTTGAAGTTTAGATTGAGTTCCTTTTTTTCTTCTTCTAAAATTGCATGGTTCTTTTGATTATGTTAGTAGTTAATAAGAAACTATGTTTGTAAAGTATATATTTAATCCGAGTGATTTGTTTACATGCTCTTCTCTGTTTGATTATAATTACATATATTTTGGAACATTAGTAGCTTTGTAATAAAATAAAATAAAAGAAGGGAATGTGCAGCTCTTTCACTATCTGGTCTTTTGCTTCGATTAAAATGTGACCCGGGTACTGTTTTCAGGGAGGGCGGTAAAGCCAGATAAAACATCGGCAACATTTTTGTCATTTATAGGGCTTATAGACAAGCGGGTGGAGTTGGACGGTAGCATCAAACATGGTGATGCCAACTACCATGCAGCACTCTCTGCGATGGCTTCTAAAGCATCATATGAAAACAGTGCACGCATTGAAACTATTGTCAAGAATCACTGGAAGGTATATAGCTTATTAGCAATTTGATTAATTGTTTTGATTCAAAGTCTGATAGGGACGAATCAATTTGATTAATGATTTCCATTCCCAGTCTGACAACATAAGTAAATCTGACAAGTTGTGTACAAGTATTAAGTATTGAATTTGATTTTAACACCAAAATGCAATTGTTCTTGAGCAGATGAAGTTTTTGGGATTTTATGACTTCTGGAATGGTAAGGAGTAACCTACACTCTGTAAGTTTCATTCATTTCAAATTGGCCACATGATATATAATTAATGATGATTTTGCTTTCTACATAGATTATCAAGGAAAAGACACGACACAAGCCTTCTTGCTTCGTGACAAAACTTGTGACCAAGACACAATTGTTGTGGCCTTTAGAGGAACTGAACCCTTTGATGCAGATGCATGGTGCTCTGACTTTGACTTCTCCTGGTATGAGCTTTACGGGGCTGGCAAAATTCATGGTGGCTTCATGAAAGCTTTAGGGTTACACAAGAATGATGGTTGGCCTAAGGAAGAAGTCAAACAAGATGGTAAACCACCCCGACGCCGAGCTTACTATGCCATTAGAGACATGCTAAATAAACTTTTGAGACAAAATGATGAATCAAGATACATAGTGACAGGCCATAGTTTCGGTGGGGCTCTAGCAATTCTGTTTCCAGCGATTTTGGCTATGCATGATGAGGCATGGTTATTGGAGAGATTGCAGGGGGTATATACATTTGGGCAGCCAAGGGTAGGAGATGAGAAATTTGGAGAGTTCATGGAAAAACAATTGAAAGAGCATCGCGTTCCATATTTTAGAATTGTTTATGGTAATGATATGGTGCCTAGGTTGCCTTTTGATGACAATGCCTTAATGTACAAGCACTTTGGGACATGCCTCTACTATAATAGGCACTATGAAGTGAAGGTACGCAAGCACATCAAAATTCCTGTCACAAACTAAAATGAAGACTAGAGCTTGCATGAAAGTGCTTTTAACAATCCCAAAATGCTTTTAGATAACTAAATTCTTTCATATAATCCAATAATATATCCATTAGATATTATATTTTTTTTTTTTTTTTTTTTTTTTTTTATTTTTTTGCAATCAAAAACACTTATACACAGGCCCTAGACTAGATTTCTTATTATATATTAATTAATTTTTGGAAGCTTTACGTATGCAGGTTGTTGAAGAAGAACCATATAGGAATTACTTCTCACCATTGGGGGCAATACCCAAGATGATAATGCTTTCTGGGAGCTGATTAGAAGCTTCACTATTTCATACGCCAAGGGACCAGGCTACAAAGAAGGGTGGCTTCTAAGAATTTTTAGGATAATTGGTTTGGTAATTCCAGGCGCCCCAGCTCATAGCACCCAAGATTATGTTAATGCCACCCGGTTGGGATCATCAGACGTCTTCGTCCCACCTAAAGACATATGACATGAAGATATCGTATAGACCTTAAAAGTTTGAGCAGGACATAAAGATCCTTAATTAGAATAAATGTGTGATTTTGGTAACAAATAAGCTTAAGGTTATAATTTTGTCGAACTGTTAATCTGGCTTTGAATTGGAAAAACCTAAAATCCGGCTCTGGGATGTTGAAGTTTGTAGCACTCTGTCTCTCAGTCTTGGCAAATTTTCTATTTTGAGAGTCAATTACAAGTCTTGTGCAATTGGCATAGTCCTGTGTCACTGGCAGAACCAAAAACGAGGAACACGAACAAGTCTTGCAAGTTGCAATTATCCAGAAAGCCCATAAAAAATAAATAAAAAATAAAAAATCGTGGAACACGAGTGGTCAAATATTTTGTGACATTTGTAGCCATTGGCTCTGAAAGTAGCTTTCACAAAAGGCAATTCTTTTGAAGTCATCTCTCGAAGACTTCTTTATTCCACATATAGCTTTTTAGGTCCTGTTTGGGTTAGAATCTTATCACATATGTCCTCAAATAGGGACAGCACCAAAATATTGTTCTGTATAAATACAATTTTTGGACAGGGACGGAGCCATATACATACCTTTAGAAGTGATAGTTGAAATTAAGAAAAAAATACACCTGATGGAGGAAAATATTAGGGAGATTCACTAATATACCCAATATGGGAGTCCAAATTATAAAAATACCCTATATAAAATGAACTTTATAAACACACCCAAAACTCATTTACAACATAACAAAGAGGCTTTAACTTCTTATAAATTACAAAACTACCACAAATTTCTTAAAACAAGCCCAACCTCAAAATCTCATAAAAATACCCAAAACACTCAATAGGGCATTAAAGTAATTTAATAATCAATATTAAATTCAATAAGGCCAGCTATCATTTTTGGGGTTTTTTTTGGGTTTGTTTATAGAAATTCAATGATGGAGGGTTTATCTATAATATTAGTGCTAAGAATGGGTATATCACTAAATATCTCAAAATATTATTGGTAATTGAGTTACAGCAAATATTTTGAATATATATTCAGCACGATGAATGGAGACAACAAAAATTACAAAGACAACTCAAATAGCGCATCAAATTTTAAGTGGAGTTACTTTACACGACAGAGTGACGTAGCAAAGCATTATGAAATATTGATCAATGCATGACCCTGAAACAACACCAAAAAGAAGCCTAACACCATTAGGGCCTGCCTTCTTTTGCCTCTGAAACTATGGCTCCCTGCGAATTCTGCAGTAACTTTCTGGTGCTGAGACCAAACAAAGCGAATCCAATCAAGCTCTTACGCTTCTTATGGTCTGGCTACATAGCAGAAGGAGCAGATGCTATGATAGAGTGCCCAAAGGGGGAGGAGGAAGAAAATCGCAAACATAAAGTGGTTATCTTTCTGTCTCTCTTAGTGCAAATGATTTTGTTATGGATCGCCAAACCCTTGAGATGTATTGGTTCAGCGTTCGAGTGGCTTCTAAACCTTCCCTCTAGTAACCAGAACTGGCGTGGCCTTATTCATAATGTTTTACACGGTTAGTCGTCCCAAAGTCTCATATCTGCATGTTATTGCTTTGCATGCAACTGTCTCATCATTTTTTCTTCCCTTTTTTGTACTGAAATTTGCATGTAATCTACCACAAAGAATACTTTGCATTGACCACATGATTTACCACAAAGAATACTTTGCATTGACCACATGATTTACCACAAAGAATACTTTGCATTGACCACATGATTTACCACAAAGAATAGCTATTTCACCACCTCTCTAATAGAGAGAAAAAAACTTATATGAGTATGTTCTTGTCACGTGATGTTGTAGAGTGGTAGAACAATATCATGTGACAAGAAAAAAACTTATGTGCTAACTGGATTATTTAGCCGCTTTATAGAACAAACCCACATAAGTATTTTTCTCTTAATATATAAGTAGGTAAGACATGTATAACTAGATCATCTCTATTAAAGTTATGAGTAATATATTAAAAAAAAAAAAAAAAAAAAAAAAAAAATATATATTATACAAACTTAATTATAAAAAATATAACATGGATTTTGTTATATAGTGTTGTCCATGAAAAGATTAATTATTTGTGAAATGGAACGAATCATTGCCGTACAGGTAATCTAAAGCAAGATAGAGAATCGCCAAGTTTCATGTCAGCTATTGGATATACAGACAAGCGAGTGAAGTTGGACAAGACCATAAGCCGGAAAGATAGCAAATATTATGGAGCACTCTCTGCCATGGCTGCTAAAATAGCGTATGAGAACGAAGCCTTCATTAAAAACACAGTGGAAAATCATTGGAAGGTACAATTACTCTTATATTACGAATACGTATATCAATTGCGCAAAGACAATAATCTTATAATTAATCTTGCAAGAATGTTCATATCTAACAATTGTATATATTTTTGTAATTTGGTGCAGATGGAACTAATTGAGTTCAACAACTTTTGGAATGGTAAGATAAGTCCTGAATCTAATCATAGAAGTTATTACTATACTAGTGATGTTCATGTCCATGAATATATATTGGTGGTCTTCTTCCAAGAAATATCATGGGTCACACATCAATTGCTTGATTTTGTTGCTCTTGTCTAAAGGTGTCCTGATTGATTTAAACGTGTATATAACAAACCAAGTATTGCTCTGGCAGTTTGTCAAAAGAAAGACACCACACAAGCCTTCCTGCTTCATGATAAAATACCGATCCTGATGATCAATTGATCGTCGTGGCCTTCAGAGGTACCGAGCCCTTTGATGCAGATGCATGGAGCACTGACTTTGATATTTCCTGGTTCGACTACGGGCCTCTTGGAAAAGTGCATGGTGGGTTCATGAATGCCCTAGGCTTAACAGAAAAGGAAGGTTTGCCTAAAGAACTCAAACAAGATAATCACCACCCATTAGCTTATTACACCATCAGAAGACACTTGAGAAATCTTGTGCGGCTCGACAATAACACAAAATTTATAGTGACGGGTCACAGCTTGGGAGGGGCCCTGGCAATTCTGTTTACCGCGCTTTTGGCATTGCACGACGAAGAATTATTGTTGAAAAGATTGGAAGGGGTTTATACGTTCGGGCAGCCAAGGGTTGGGGATGAGGTATTTCAAAAGTTCATGGAGAAACAAACGGAAGTTCACGACATTAAGTATCATAGGATTGTTTATGGTAACGATCTGGTTCCTAGGGTGCCCTCAGATAACCCTACATTCTTGTTCAAGCATTTTGGGACATGCCTTTACTATAACAGCTTCTATAAACAAAAGGTAAAGGTAATTAATAAAGGGGCTAAATTTTTATGACGGTATTCAAATGCAGGTTAATTAATTATGTACTATTTCTTGCAGGCGCTTGAAGAAGAGCCAAACAAGAACTACTTTGATCCGACGGCGGCAATGTCCAAGCACCTAACTGCAATTTGGGAGCTCATAAGAAGCTTCATAATCCCATACGCAGAGGGGCCTGAGTACAAAGAAAGTTGGTTACTCAAAGCCATTAGGGTATTTGGAGTCATTATACCAGGTGTTGCAGCTCATAATCCCCAAGATTATGTTAATGCAACCCGTCTGGGATAATTAGCTATGAAATAGGAGTCCTAATCCCCCATGCCATTATCTAGTATTGGCTCTAAATAAATGGGGTTTTGTACTGTTTAATTCTACTAAATAAGTACTAAATATTTCCTTAATATGGTTTATGCTCTATTTACTTTTATGATTAAATGTTAGCATATTTGGTCTTTGAAATTGGTGTTTAAGTGAAATTGGTATGGCTAGACAATACAAAGTAAAAGTTTTACTCGAAAAAATTCTCAATGGGTGAAGTGGATTTCAAAAATCAAAGCATATTTTAAAACCACATAAGGCCATCTCCAATGGTTGGGGCCTAAAAGAGGTTGATAGAGCCCCATTTAGAGCTCCAATTGAATCTTTGGGGCTTTATAGGCATCTCTCCACAATGAGAGGCTCTATATTTGAGGATCCATTTATGATGTAATTTGATTTATGTGCCATTTTTTATTTTTGTTAACTTATTATGTTTTAATATGTTTATGTTATGTTAGTTTTTTTTTTTGGTGTGAACATTTCAACCCAAAAAAAATCAAAATTTGGACAAGATTTAAAAAAAAAAAGTGATTAGAGTAAAGAAAAAAAACTAGCTATTTGTTTATATAAAAAAGAAGACTTTCATTTGAAAACAAAAAAAAAAACGGTAGAAAAATAGGAGAGTACAAAAATCAAGGTTTTTTATGTGCTGACGGGCCTTGAGCATGTGGTTTGGTAGGAGAGTATGTGGGCAGTTGCGTCCACATCCACACATTTGAGGACAGCTTCAATGAGTCTTTAGCATTTAGAGCCCAAAATCTCTCCCATTTGGGATGCCTTTTTGACATTGGGCTACATATATGAGAGCTCTGTGGTGGTTGAGCCCCAAATAGAGCCCCCATTAAAGATGGCCTAATGAAAAATGCAGACTTTCCTCATAGAAGAAGATGCAAACCAAAACCAAAACTCTAAAAAAAACCTCTCTGTGTAAAAGTGACGGCTAGAAGAGCCAAGACTCCCTTTTTACCCAAAATAGCTAGGTCATAAAACAATCCACATGGCGGCTAATAATTGAAGCTATAATAGGGCAAAAATCATTAGGACAAAAAAATCTACAGTTAGCCAAGTGTGAGTCCCACGTAAGAATTTAAATGAGTTGGCAGTAACAGATGATCGGTCATCACGTTGACTCGACATGTCCTAATAATGTATGATTTACCTTTGAAGACCTCGATTGCATCGTGCCCAAGTTGATCTCATCCACCTTCTTCAACTAGACTATCCTAGTCTAATTAACCTAGAGCTTGATGAATTACATGTGCAATTACAAAGTTGTCAAAGGAAGCTAAAAACCTTAGCTAAACATAACCATAACAGTCTTTGTGATTGGCTGGTAGGCCCTAAATATTAATCTAGAATACTTCATATTGAGATATTATAGAGCGGTATATCACCATGTCATCTCATGATACTTTTAATGCTACATAAGTCACATGAAACATGAGTACTGCATGAGCCCAAAACCTTCTTGCAACTGCACCCTTCCAGTGAAATTCTAATTTGCCTATGCTAAAGAAACTTCAAAGGCCTGTACTAGTAGTGGTCCTACCCACAGAGAACAATTGTGCCAATAAATCTTGAACTACAAGGAAAAATCCTTTAGGCAACCACCACATTTGGGTGTTCAACAGAAAAGGAAAACAAAGCAAAGCGGAATAGGAGAGCTAGAGCAACGTTAGAGAGAAAGAGGAGAGCAACATCAAAGAGGATAAGGGTAGACTCGATAGCAACTTCGTTATTTAGCGGCACATCTTTAGAACTCGCTATTTTGTGCCAACGAGCGAAGCGTTTTTTTAAGCCCCAAATTCTCTAGTCTCATTTAACTTAACAAAGGGCTGCACCAAACATGGGTTATGGGTGTTATTTAAGCTAGTTCGATCCAAGCCAATCCAAGAAGGTGTACCAAAAAGACCCGTGGTGGATTACATTTAACTAGGAACCAAACCAACCCACCCCTTTGTTGCACTTACCATCTCAAACCAAGTTCCAGAAAGCCACCACCTCTCTAATCTCTTTCTCTAATACCTACACATCTTACCAGGCTTCCGAATTGTAATAACCTCCCTATTCTATAACAAAAGTGTAAATTGTCTTTTATATTGAAGTGTACAAACATTAGATAGTCAGTTTTTAACAATTGTTATTATGCTTGATATTCGCAAGGTTTACACTTCAACGATTCAAAACTCACATTTTGCCTTGTGTGACATAAAAAAAGGTTGCCTTAAAGCCTCACCTTTGAAAACAATGATTGCATGTTTACTAATCAATTGAATTGAGGAGAATTAGATTCCGAATTCCTATTAAAGTTGTTTACTAAACCATATGGATTGAGAATAGTTATATTCCGAATTCCTACTAAAGTTGTTTACTAAATCATATGGAATTTGAGTAGAAATGGTGTTAATTACTAAAATGTCCTCATTGTTAAGTTAAAGTATATGACAAATTTGGAATTTTAAAAATTGTTTCCTTATTTCTTATTTTATATGTATTTTATGGGGATTAATGTTATTTGTAATATTGTTTATTTCATAAATTATTAACAGTAATATTATTGTTACACTTTTCAGATTTTTAAATTATATATATATATATATATATATATATATACTTTTACAGTTTGACTCTCAAAAGGAAAATTCATAGTTCCGTCACTACATGTATTTGAGGTCGTCTTGTGTCGAATACCCTTTGTTGTCTAATATCATTTGTGTAAAAATAAAAGTAAAAAGACGTAGTAAAAATATTGGAGGTATAATATTGTGAAGTTTTAAAATGGTGGTCCATGCTAGACAAATGACATGCAGCTGAATAAAGACCATGGTGGTCCTTCACCCACCCGATATCTGCCCTCTATCCACACGACCACAAACCGGAAGCTGTTTTTAAAAGACAAGGACCGCAGATCAAACTCGGCCGAATTTGTGTTGTGTTCTTCAAGGTTCGAGCGGCGCGAGCGAGCTAGCGAGAAAGAGAGAACGCGCGCGCGCGAGAGAGCAGAGAGGGAGGGAGGAGAGAGAGAACGCGAGAGGGTGGTCAGGTCTAGGGTTTTGGAAAAATCCCAGAGATTGATTGCACAAGGTTAGTGAGCGCGTAAATTGAAGAAATTTCATGCCCTATTTTTCGTGTTTTCTTTAATTATATCCCAATTTTGTTTGAGCTGTAGCCTAGAATTTAAAACAGAAAAAGCAAAAAGTCGAAAATGGTGAGTTTGATTTGGTATATGCCGCTTGTGTGTGAGAAAGAGATGTGCTTATCATGTGCAGGGAGCGAGTGTGAGAGATTTATTAGAGAGAGAGTGCTTAGAAGAACAAAAGCTTTCTCTTTTTTCAATTTTAGGGTTTCTCTCCCCCTTTTGGGTTGCCTTCTCCAATTGCCTCATGGACCGCAAGCTCGTGGTTAGTTTTTCTTTTTCTTTTTCCTTCTGTATCTATATTACATTTTGCATGTTTGTTGATGGGTTAAGGGAATTAGTTGGTTTTATTTGAATGGTGTGCTCTGTAATTGTAATTCAGGTTTTGGGCATTCCGTGGGATATTGATACGGAAGGGTTGAGAGAGTATATGAGCAAATTTGGTGAATTGGAAGATTGTATTGTCATGAAGGTTAGCCATTTATCCAATCCTTTATATTAATCTAATTGCTATGGAACTCTTGTGGAGATTTTATTCATGAGTGTTCCTCGTCTGCTTTACTACTTAGTTTTATTGATGAATCATTTTTGTTGATGCTTGGTTTGGACGTCGGTTGTTCCCTTGTAGTTGATTGGGATTCTGTTTGTCTGTTTATTTGATCCATTTTTTGCATTATTTACATTATTTTGGAAACTTATAGGCATTTGTTTCCGTGTTTTTTAGGACCGGTCAACTGGTCGGTCTCGCGGGTTTGGATATGCAACATTTGCATCAGCTGAAGATGCCAAGGTGAGTTGGACTAAAATTGTCCACGTATCCTTGTTGTCTGCGCTAAATGTTTTCACTATTTATGTGCATTATTGCATGATCGGTTAGTCATTGGAAACATAAATATGTTAAAATCAACTGTCAGTATATCAGATGTCTAATAGCTGACATTTTTTGGCTACAGAATGCAGCATCAAGTGAGCACTTTCTTGGGAATAGAATGCTGGAAGTTAAAATAGCTACGCCAAAGGTTTTATAAATTCATAATCAGTATTGTTTTAATATCATTCACATATGTTTATTTCGGTTAGTGATAATTGTTGTGTATGTATATTGTGCTTTCTATAGCATCAAGGATTTTGTCGGTGGTTCTGCCATTATTCATTTTTTATGCTTTCTTTTTCTAGGAGGAGATGAGAGCACCTGCAAGAAAAGTTACCAGGATATTTGTTGCAAGGATCCCACAAGTTGTGACAGAAGCCACCTTCCGAAGGTAGTTAAATATATCGTTGTTACTGCAATAATGATTTTTTCTTGATTTTTTTTAACACTTTCATGTTTCATGATATGAAATTAACCTGATGTTTCTTTCAATTTCTTTTGCAGTCATTTTGAGAAATATGGTGATATAACAGATTTATACATGCCGAAGGTTCTCTATCCATCTTCTGGTTCTGGTCCAAATCATATTAATTTAGACGTTATAATTGCTTAATTATTTTTGTGTTTGACTTTTACTATAAGTCTTGTAAATATGTGTGTAGGTATGTCTATACATTGCACATGCACACGCCCACCAAGTCAAACATTTATATTTGCAGTTATTGTTGGGTTGGACCCAATATCATATGGTTCTTATAAATGTGTTGTTTCAGGATCAAGGCTCAAAAATGCACCGTGGAATTGGGTTTATAACATTTGAAAATGCAGGTCAGACCGTCTCACATATCCCTCTATGCTTTGCATTATGCATAATGGCAACTAACTTTTTTCCATTTGAATTTAAGCCCCCTGATGGCACGTTAAGTTATTAATTTGTGTTTACTTGAGCTTGCAATAAACATAAGTTCATTTGTGGTGATGAAGGAAAAGCATGTGGTAATGAGATAGGGGAGAAATAAAGGTCAGTGATAGTTGTTGCATGGAGGAGAGATGCTTTGTCAAGCATATTTGATTACATTGTATCTTCTTTTCAACAGCTTATACATATGAAATTAATTAAAATATTGATGTCTTGTTTTATTTTACCATTCATTTTAAGGTTTATAAGAAGTGATTTATTTACTTTTATCCAAGATAGGGTTTGTGAACTGTATGAACCTTATGTTTTTTAATGTAAACATGAAAGTTTCTTATTAAATAATTGACTTGTTTTACGTAGATCTATAGGTGTATAAATGCTTGTTCCCCAGCAACACTTAAACTAGCAGTCTTTATCGTTGTGAATATAATATCGGGATAGATAGAGAATCTGGGAGCTGATTGTTTGATATTATGCTGTGTGGATGATATCATTTTCATCATTTTCTGTGAGGAAAAATATTGAACAAATAAATGTCCTCTATATTGCAGATTCCGTGGAAAATTTGATGGCTGATACTCATGAGTTAGGCGGTTCCACTGTAGTTGTTGATCGAGCAACTCCCAAGGCAAGTTACAGCATAGCCAACCTTTAGTTTTTAGTTTTTTGAATTTATAGTTCTAATTCCGTTCTTTTTAAGTTCAAAATTCTTTTTATAAAGATATCATTGATTCAAGAATCAAGATATATAATATCTTCTTTTCAGGAAGATGACTTCAGACCAGTTGGCAGAATGGCACAGGGTGGATATGGTGCATATAATGCTTACATCTCAGCAGCAACTAGATATGCAGCACTTGGTGCTCCTACCTTGTATGACCATCCTGGACCAATACCAGGACCTGCTTTTCCAAGTAAGTGCTTTTACAAGTTACAGAGGATACTGCACTTTAAAAATCTTAAGTTGTGCAATCTTGTTTTTTTGTTTTTTGGTTTTTTGAATCTTGTCATGTTGGATTAGGAGGGGAATCTGCTCGAGGACTGGGCAAAAAGATTTTTGTTGGTAGGCTTCCTCAGGAAGCAACCGTGGAAGATCTCCGCCAGTATTTTGGGAGATTTGGTCGTATAGCAGATGTCTATGTTCCAAGGGTAAGATAGCATGGATTTATAAATAACCAATTGTATTCATGAAATTTTGGAACCTGAAAATGTGTGAATGCTCAATTATGCAGGACCCGAAAAGAACTGGACATAGAGGGTTTGGTTTTGTAACTTTCGGGGAAGATGGCGTAGCCGAACGTGTATCACGAAGGTCTCATGAGATTTGTGGACAGCAGGTATTAGATGGAGTTAACTCTCATTTTTTTGCCTGTTAACTTATGGTTCATTTTTTATCCACCCACGTCAAACTAGTATTTTGCACGAAAATGAGGGAAAATATGATGCTTTTCTATGAGATCGCAGTTTAGGGGTAACCCAACAACATACCCTCATTGTTGTTTCCCTGAAACAGCTGCAAGCACTCTAATTAAGTATAAGCTTATACTTTTCTAAATTGTTTTTTACTCTGTAAAATGATACTTAATATGTTGTTCTCCAGGTTGCAATAGATACAGCCACACCACTTGATGAAGCTGGTACCAGTGGAAATTTTGTGATGAATAATGTAGAGCCCTTTGGTGGTGGCTATGGTGGTCCTGTGCGCAGCTATGGCAGGATGTATGGAAGTCTAGATTTTGATGATGTGAGTATATTTTAATTTGCTGTCATGTAGGTTTCTGTCCGAAAGGAAGTTTTTTTTGTTATTTCTGAGACCAAACTTATTTTCCATGTACTTTTACTAACATACTGCATGCTGCACTCTTGATATTGCAGTGGGGTTATGGAATCGGCAGTGCGAGACCGTCAAGAGCAGATTGGAGGTACAGACCATACTAGAGATGTGGCTCTGGAAATTTGGCACCAGATCTTAGGAATGTCAACAAAATGCCATGCAGGCTTTGTTAAGTGAATTTATATAAGATTAAGGATCACATCCTTAGCTGAAGTCCCCAATAATGTTCGTTTGTCAACTTCTGAACTTAATATAGTTGGTTTCCCCTTTCAAACAGATCCATGCGTTATTATCCAGTGAAAATATAGGTGGATAGGAATGTCTGAATCTGTAATATTAGCCAGCCGGCGAATTCAGGGATCAGGACCATGGTTCCTTTGTGTAGAAATCGCTATTTTATTAAGTTATTAGATGGATTATTTATGGCTTCTTGCAAAGGTGGGAGGTGTTACATTTTTATTTTGTTCGGTTACATTTGACTAGTTCTGTTTTCCATTTTCCTTTGCTTATCTTCCCAGTAAGATTTGCGTCAGTTGAATTTTAATTTTGTATATTTTGAATTTCTGGATCATTCAGGGACATATGTAAGATGAAATCTGGGTGACTCGGATTTGCCAAAAAGGATTTATTATTATCATTATTATTATTTTAAACACAACAAAATCCTGTCCTCAAACCATATGCAGAAACTTTGGCACACAAAAAAATGCAGAAAGAAAGACAGCTAAACGTTGGAAAGAAGACAACCAAATGCCATGGTAAAAGGCCTACTCAAGAGCACAAAGAGAAGCATTTGAAGTTCTTCTATATACGGTGCTCACTGTACTCATACTTAGTTAATGCACGAGGTTCCTATATACAATACATACAGGATGAGGTCAAAAGGAAGAACACTTGACATGGAAGAAATTCCTAAGCTAGATTTCAAATCAGAAACTCCAAGGGGTCAGCTGGTGCAATGAATAAATTAGCTGGGAAGAGCACAAGGAATTAGGCAGCATTACGGGTAAAGCAACTGCTCAGGGAACCCCCCCGGACAAGCTTACCGAAGGAAACAATCTTTCCGGGAGTTTTCGGAGCTTGATGGCCGTCTTTAACTGCTATTGAGCTTCTCATCTTGTGGGCTTTAACTTGTGCCTTTCTCACCTTCTTCATGATCTTGTCCATTGTCGACGATCTCCTCTTTTCCAATTTCATCTGCAACACCAACGTCATAGTTAGTAAAGGCCGCAAACACTATGGGAGACATATGGAAGAGGCAAAGGTTGCCTTAGTGACCCTGCATTTTTGGTAAAATGCAGAAAATGATACATAAATATGAATAAAACATTGCTCATATGAAAGAACCTCAAGTTTTCTTAGTGCTGCTTCAGCTTTTGCCTTCTGCAAGTTCTCCCACGCAGTGATCTTGGCTTCCTCTCTTTGCTTTCTGCATACATCAGAAGTTTTCTTTGGAATATCAATTTACACGCAGAAGAATAAATGAACCAAAAGTGGAGATTTGGCTTAAAGAAAGGAAACTTGTAGATTACAATGTTTTTCTCTGGAGGCTAAATGGCATAAGAAACTCAGAATTTATAGAACATACCTTGAACTGTTCATAGCTGCCTCTGAAATATTGAAAGATGGAGGTTGGTTTTTAATAGCAATTTTGTCGAAATCATAAACATCCGGGCGTCTTTTCGTGATGCTGCCACCCCTTCTTGACCCCTTACTGCCGGTGGCTCCATTGTCAACCTGCACTTCTCTGACCTCTAACTTAGCAAAATGTTCGCGTTGCTGCTCCACAATGGAAAGCAGAGTTGGAGAAGATGGAGCAAATGATGACCTCCTTTTGGGAGGTGGTGGCGAGTGGTGGAGGCAACCATTTGGGGTTATTTGGGTTCCCATATCTCGTTGTGAAACAGCTCGGGAAATCACTGGTTCCTCACACTCTGTGTTATCAAGTTTCTCATCTGCCACATTTTATCCACAATAACAAACTCACATATAAGAATAATGCGTTGATAATTAAGTTATGAATCACTTAGAAACCCCAAGAAGCATAACTCTAGAAACAAAATTAAGCCCCCAAAACCGTTGTGATTAATAGAATATATGTGATTCAGATTCACAGTCTGACAACACGGTATACTAAATATTTGACGAGGGAACATTATCCATCCGAGGTGTTCAACTGTTTTTCATTCAACCAAGTATAATGATATGAAAATTAAGAAGAGAAAAAAAAAACATGTACTATTGGAGATGGGAAGAACTCACTTTGCAATTCTAGCAGTCCAAGCGCACTAGTTGATCTTCCCGTTCCTCCACTGCCACCATATAGAAGAGAGACACTATCAGCTGCCAAAACTCCTGTGGAAAATGGGGAACCGATTGCGAAATTCCTCACGCTGCCGCAGCCATCAAATGCCGGATTTGCAGGCGAAAAATTCGAACAGTATACAGCTCCGGGAGACACAATTGGACCACTCTTGGACTTAGGCCTCCTCTGCTGACCATGACCATGAGAATGTGAATCATTCTTGTTGCTCTCACACCCATATCCGAGAACCGGGCTGCAAATCCACCTCTCTGCATCTTCCCATTTTGAAGGCACAGTCCTCCCACCATTGCTCAGCCCCATCAAAGAAGTGCTGCCAAGGATGGCATGCCTCTGTCCGCTGCTTGTAGGCAACGGCACACGCTCAGAGCTCCAACCCTTTTGGCCTCCAATTCTACTGCCATGAAAATCTGGCCCTCCTAGGCTTGGAAATGCACCCAAATCATGAGAAACAGAACCTCTCTTCATGTGGAAAAACTGGTTGTTGAGTGTAGACTTGGTGATGATCTTTTCTTAGTGTACTTTGCTCATTTTCCGCAAGGAACATGTTGAAGGCCAAGTTACTATGCCTTGTCTTTGACACAGCTGTAGTTTTGGCCTTTTTGGGCCTTTTTTTTTTGGCGGGGTGGCTATTTCTTTGTGTCCTTCAATTTCATTGCATTTGGAGTCTGGACCACTCAAATTCAGTCATCAACTTTGTTATAGCTGCCAAACTTGTAAATCAAATCAAAGACAGAGAGTTTGACAGTGGGGAAGTAGACAAACTGAGCATTAAAGGCTTGGTATCGTTTGTCCAAATTAAGTGCATAGTTACAAGTTTGGATAGCTCACTATTTCTTTCCCATTCCTGTCCTACAGGCTACAGCCTAGGTAGGTAATTTTTTTGTTTTAAATATTTTCCCGCAAGGCATCTCAGAATGTGCGGTTCAGATTTTTTAAATTAAAATGGCTACACTCACCAAATTTGTTTATCAAATTTTGTATCATCAAGTGATACGGTAGTATTTCGTTTGTTCAAATTTGAGCTCATTCTGAATCTCGGTTATTTTGAACAAGTTTGGTGTTGAATTCCTACTATTTGTGCAAGTATACTGTTTGTGTGCTACTCAATTTTGACATGTACTTGTAGCATTTTATTATATTCTTTTTCTACTTTCGGTCTCTTCTGGGAAAGTCTTGCTGGCAGGTCGGTGATCCAGAGTCCAGACACCAGACATCTTGATGGTCATGTGGGCAACCTCCACCCGGGCAATGGGCTGCAGTAAGTCATGGTGGGATGGGCCAATATCATCTAAATTTAATTTAGCATTTTCAAAATCACAAAACCTCGGATGTAAAAGTGAATGTTCTTAACTAAATGAGTTAGAAACTCTTTGCCATTTATCATTCTTACACAAGTCTAACGTCTGTAAAACATATAGATGTAGTACATCTATATGTTTTTGTACTATTTATGTCACATTTGTTTTCTTAATTTATGAAATTGTTATACGCCTGCAGGAGAATTTGTACAAAATTTCAAAACAACCGTCTACGCATGTTTTTGTGTGCTTACATCATGCTTATTTCAAAACAATCTGTCATTTCAGGTTTAAGATTAACCATTTTGGGTTTAGGAGTGATATAATTGGTGCAAAAGGATTTAAACCAAAGAGTTCGTCTGTGGTGCATCGGGTGCACCGGTACAGCCCATCACGTGAGGTCACGTGAGGTTTTTTTAAAAACAGGAGAAACCTTAGCAGCAGGTCACCAAGTTAAACGAATTCACGCGCCTTACTGTGGATGTCATCTTCTTCCCTAAACGCATCTGTTGAAGTTCAAGCTGATTTCTGGTCTTCAAAGTCATCTTGTTCAACTCCTCTTCGTGGTCTTCAAAGTCATCCTCTTCGTGATCTTCCTCCTCTCTGCAACATCTGGTTGAAGTTCAAACTGAGCGTCAACTTTTCCCCTTGCTTTAACCTGTTAACCAACACAGCCGTTTTCCCTTGTTTTAAAAACACCCCCACGACACTCCTTCCCCTTCTTCCGAATACCTCACCTACCCTTCTCTCTAGACTCTAGTTCATTTTCTTTCTGTTTGGCTCAATTCTAACATAGTATCATGACTGATTTATCTTATCACATGCTTAAATCTTGAGAACCCTCTTCTTAGAAATCCCAAATTTATTTGATTTCTTCTATTTCCCCAAATCTGATTCACCCTTGATTCATTAAACCTCAACTATTATTTATTATGGCTTGTACTAAATCTCTAGTTGCTGCCCTTCTACTAAATCCAAATGGAGCAGATGCACACAAAGTTGCAGTCATGAACTGATGAAAACTTCCATCTCCTGCGAAATATGTGAAAAATGGAGAAGCTGGGATGGGTTTGATTGATTTTTGGGTTTAATTGTGTTCGGGTTTGATGGAGCTGTGTTTGATTCTTGATGTCTTGGTTTGATTGATTTTTTATGTTTGTGTTTCTTTTAGACGGGAAGATAGAGAGACAGGGAGGGAGGGAGCTGAGGGAATGGGGGAGGGGGAGAGGTGTCGGGAAGGGAAGGAGGGGATGGGTTAGCTATTTTTAGTGGATGGGCAATTTGCTACATTCAGAGTCATTAATCTATACCGAGTCATTCCATTTTTGCGTCATGGTACGTGCAATTGCATAGTCTTTTTACAATTATCCAATTATTATGAGTAATTACATATAAGTTCACAGTATGTCTTGAAATTTTATATGCAATTATTTACAATAGATATGCAATTGCACAACAATTCTAGGACATGCATTAAGAACTGAAACATCGACAAAGGCGTAGTCTCTTTGAAATTCTTTCCACTATTTGGAAATTGCATAGTTGTCAATACAAATGCTAACGACACAAATTACGTTCAATTACACATTACTCATATCGCAATTGAATTTGTAACTTACTTCCTAAAGTCGAATAAGTATAAGAAATCGTTGTTACACTTCATAACTTAGACCCTAAAGCCTAATAAGCATATAATTTAAATAAATAAATAAACCCCTTAAATATCAACATACCATCCATTGGTATCACTAATAATCCTATCGCTCAAAATAAGTGACCGATTAATTGGTTCTCCATTTTTCTTGGCAAAAAAATTGGTTCTCTTTTTAATTGTTACATATACTATATACTCATTAAAATATTATATTTGACTAAAAGAAATTAAATATTATATAATAATGTATAGATACCCATAGAAAAGAATAATTAGACTATCTATATTATATTTAGACCAAAAAAATTAAAATGAATATAACTAATGTAGGGTTTAACATTGCAATTGAGAGCCCATACTGTAAATCTAAGCTATTTCATAGAGGTAAGGCCAAGGATTAAAATATCAGCCATGCAAATAATATTGGGCCTCCAATTTACGGATATTTTGGGGGATATATTGTTATCGTTTTAGGTATCGGGAAGAAAAAAGACAGATATAGGCATTGAAACACATAATTTTGGTATAAAACTTTCACAAATGTTATGTACATTATCAATAAATGTATTGAACAAATAAAACTCAAATTTACTAATAATAAGATATACATATGATGAAATATAAGTGGTATGTAATGTGCATTAATGAAAAGTTTGAAAATAAAATGTTGATTACACTAGTAAAAAATAACCCTTGCGAGACCAAATTTTGCGCGATGAAAAATTATTCGTTGCTCAAAGTAACTTTGCGCGACGAAACTCAAAACTTCGTCGCTCAAAACCTTGCGCATGCCATCAAAACATATATTCACTAACAATTAAGAGTTTATTTATACTTTTGTTAAATATAACTTAAGATTTTGGGGTATCCACCAGTGTAAATATTTTAAATTGACGATCGAATTAGTTCATTGTATTCATATAGGGTCAAGGAGTGTAGCTGTAAAAAAATCATCAAAATCGGAGTTAAAATAACTGTTAAATCGTGATTTTTCATTTATAACCGTCGAAAAGTTTTGTCTCAGTACTTGATTTCTGAATGTTTATTTTTTCCAATTTTTGGCGTATATGATCTCGAAGTATGAACAAACAAGTTTGACGGTTGGATCGTTGAAACTAGTTTTGTTGAATGCTATGCCATCAAACAATATATTCACTAACAATTAAGAGTTTATTTATACTTTTGTTAAATATAACTTAAGATTTTGGGGTATCCACCAGTGTAAATATTTTAAATTGACGATCGAATTAGTTCATTGTATTCATATAGGGTCAAGGAGTGTAGCTGTAAAAAAATCATCAAAATCGGAGTTAAAATAACTGTTAAATCGTGATTTTTCATTTATAACCGTTGAAAAGTTTTGTCTCAGTACTTGATTTCTGAATGTTTATTTTTTCCAATTTTTGGCGTATATGATCTCGAAGTATGAACAAACAAGTTTGACGGTTGGATCGTTGAAACTAGTTTTGTTGAATGCTATGCCATCAAAACAATATATTCACTAACAATTAAGAGTTTATTTATACTTTTGTTAAATATAACTTAAGATTTTGTGGTATCCACTAGTGTAAATATTTTAAATTGACGATCGAATTAGTTCATTGTATTCATATAGGGTCAAGGAGTGTAGCTGTAAAAACTTATCCAAATTGGAGTTAATATAACCGTTAAATCGTGATTTTTTCATTTATAACCGTCGAAATTTTTTGTCCCGTTACTTGATCTCTGAATGTTTATTTTTTCCGATTTTTGGCGTATATGATCTCGAAGTATAAAAAAATAAGTTTGACGGTTGAATCGTTGAAACTAGTTTTTTTTAATGCGTATGCCATCAAAACAATATATTCACTAACAATTAAGAGTTTATTTATACTTTTGTTAAATATAACATAAGATTTTGTGGTATCCACTAGTGTAAATATTTTAAATTGACGATCGAATTAGTTCATTGTATTCATATAGGGTCAAGGAGTGTAGCTGTAAAAAATTATCAAAATCGGAGTTAAAATAACCGTTAAATCGTGATTTTTCATTTATAACCGTCGAAATTTTTTGTCCCGTTACTTGATCTCTGAATGTTTATTTTTCCGATTTTTGGCGTATATGGTCTCGAAGTATAAACAAATAAGTTTGACAGTTGGATCGTTGAAACTAGTTTTTTTGAATGCATATGCCATCAAAACAATATATTCACTACCAAGTAAGAGTTTATTTATACTTTTGTTAAATATACTTAAGATTTTGGGGTATCCACCAGTGTAAATATTTTAAATTGATGATCGAATTAGTTCATTGTATTCATATAGGGTCAAGGAGTATAGCTATAAAAAATCATCAAAATCGGAGTTAAAATAACCGTTAAATCCCTTGGTACAAGGCTTACGTGAAAATTTTGAAGAACAAAATTTTAAATAGTTTTAAAAAAGAAGCATGTGAAAAATATAGGGGAAAGATCCAATTAAATTAACAAGAGTATATATCACAACCATACACTTTTTCTTTAAAAAATAATA